AAGATCCGCACTTTGCTGACTCGGTCCCGCTCTCTGTCTGCTTGCCTGCAGGAACAAGGGCCTCTTCTGATGGCCCGCGCGCTCGCGTTCCGTCTGGCGCTGTTCTAGCTGCTAGCGCTACCTCCATCCATTCTAGGAGTACAAGAAAAGAGAGGAGATCCCACCTGTATCCGCGGTCGGTCTCTGATGCGGTAGCACAAGTAGTAAATTCAGTTGTGTGAATCTGTATCCGTAGTGTGTCTTGTCTCTAATCAGTTAAGCAATTTTTTGGTGATGAATTGGAATGAAATGAAAGGGGAACAAACTGGTGTGTGCTGCTGCTCAGTCCATGAGTTTATTCTTCTTGTTTTTGTCAATGCCTGTAGTACAACTTTGACTGATACCGTTGTCAGCATGACCCTGGGGATGCCACCCTGAACGATGAGCTTCCTTGTTATCGGTCACAGCTGATCCTGATCATAGTAGCATTGTTGGCGTTGTTGCGTGGTGGATAAATCGCGAATGTGTTTTAGCTTATATGCATCTATGGTTGTACAGAATCAACAAGAATTCACTGCTTGGTTAGTTTGTAAAAGTTCTACTACTTGCCTTCTATTGTAGTTTGCGCACTGAAGGCTGTCCTTAACTTGGATGTCAGCAAGTAATAGTCTTTTGGAATTGCCCTCTCATCTCTTCTCCTCCCTCCGTCCCAAAATTAGTGTCTCGACTTTAGTATACTGCCACTGGCATTGGTAATGGTCACTGGCAGTTTGCTGCATATGATGACATGCTGTCACTGGCATTGCTGAAGGCTGCAGTTTTGTAGCATCAGCGTGTGGCTGTTTGGGTGGTGATAGTTGAGTCGACTCTTCTGAACGCATCTTGGTTATGTCTAGTGTTCCTGGTAATTCAGTTGAATGAACAGAAGACGAGGCCTTCTAATTCTGTTCATGTTTATTTGATACCCTGGAGGTTTTATGTACATCAGATGTTAATATGGTTTAATCATATAGACATGTTGCAACCGATTGGCATAGGCAAGCGACTGTTAGGGATGATGCACATCAATTGAGCTCACTGTTCGATTAAGAACTACCTCTGCTAAGGTTTGAGTTGAGGCTGGTGATGTAAGAGAGATGTACAGTGCAGTGCAGTGCAGTGTTCCTTTGTCAATACCTGTAGTACAACTTTGATTGATACCATTGTGAGCATGATCCTGGGGATGCGACCCTGAACAGTCAGCTAGCTTGTTGCCACAGCTGATCCTGATGAAAGTAGCATTGTTGTTGTTGCATGGTGGATAAATCGCAAATGTGTTCTAGCTTACAATTTGAATCTATGGTTAGACAGAATCAAGAAGAATCCACTGATTGGCTAGTTTGTAACCTACCTAATCTCGATTGTAGTTTGCTCACTGAATGCCGCCTTTTTTTTGTTAACTTGGATGGCAGTAATTACCATGTTTTGGTATTGCCCTCTCATCTCTTAGGTACACAAATTGTCCTTTCTGGCACGTCCGTGTGCTGGGTAGGCGATGGTCCTTGGCGTTTTGCTGTAGATGATATACTGCCATGGTTAATTACGCTCAAGTTTGCAATTTCTTAGCATCAGCCTGTGGCTATTTTAGTGCTATAATGTGTGTCAGTTGAGTTCACCTTACAGTGTAGGTGGTGATTAAGCTATATGAATAGAACCCGAGGCCCTTCAGTTCAGTGTTTATTCTTAAGGTTTTATGTGTCACCGCCGCGCTCCTCCCGTTGAGCCCCCGTGCCGGCCCCCTTCACCATTGCCCCTCGGCCCGCCGGCGAGCGCGACCGGCAGTACCTCTGCGCGGACGTGTGCCGGAGGTACTGGGAGACGAGGACGCCGGTCCCGTGGAGCGACGTCCACCTCCCCAACGGATGGCACCTCAGCACCGACCGGGTCCTGATCCCGCCGGTGCCCGTGGGCGGCCGTGCGCGCCGCGATGAGATCGAGCGCCGCCGCCGCCTCCTCCCCGACGACCTGTTCTACAACGACAGGTACGCCCCCGACTCCCGGCTGTGGGACACATGGCTCCAGGACGAGCACGACACGCGCCGCGCGTCGTCCTTCGCCGACACGGTGTCGGGGCCGCGTTGGCCACGTGTAGAGGCGCGCGGGCGTACACGGGTGCGCGGCCTCACGCCCACGCCGTCGCCTTCCCCGTCTCCGTCACCACCTCCACCTCCTCGCATGACAGCGGAGGAGGAGGCCCGTCTCATGCAGCGTGTCATGGAGGACTCCATGAACACGCACAACGAGCGGCAATGGGACGGCTTGGAGGAGGCCATGGCACTCTCTGCCGCCGGCGACGTCGCCTTCCCGGAGCTGCAGATGGCGGCCGTCAGGGAGGAGGAGAGGAGGGAGGAGACGATGGAGGAGGAGCCGGTAGCCGCGTTCCAGGAGCTGCTGGGCCAGGGGTGGGGCTGGTCATGCACTGCTCCGGAGATGGCCGCCGGCGTGGGCGTGAACTGATGCGCCACTCCCTCGCGGTCACCGGAGCGGGAGGCCTCGCCACGGGAGGAGGTGGTGCAGGCACC